CTTACGATTAACTATGAGAGATTTCAGGGAATAAAACAAAGACAAAGAGGGGATCCCTGCCTACAATATTTTTTAGGGTTTTATATTTTTCAGACTAGAAAACAGTACTATATATACTCTCTATATACAGTATACTGTTCTCCTAGGACGAAAAATAATTTCTTTTTGCAATCAAGAAAGAAAAAAAAAAATCTTGGGAAATCTGAATATTTGGATTATTATGTCAACTATATACTGTTTCCAATTTTTTCCCGTTTATTCCAAGTCATTTTTATTTATAAAAGAAGACAGGACAAATCTTGGTCTTCTTGATATCATGCTAGAAAAATAAACAAAAAACACAGCAGTTGGTTATCTGATTTTAATTTTTTAATAAGTTTTATAAAATGTTATTAACGAAAATGTATAGTTGGGATACAATTTAATTTATCTTTGTAAAAAAATGATTTAAATTAGTTACACAAAATTACGAACTAGTTGGACATCAAAATTCATGGTCGAATTAGAGATCTGATTCAATAAAAGCTCACGTCCAAATCAATATAAAGATAGTAAAATCTCGGATCTATGAGATATGGATTAAAATAATAAAGTTTTATACTCCGGATTCAGCTTTAGACGCATTAAATATATGAAAACATATAATCTCTCCATTTTATATTACTTGTCGTTTTATAAAACGACAACTAATATGAAATGGGGGGAAAATTTTTTACACATAGTTATTATATATATATATTTAGTTCTTTTTATAATATATCGTATCTATTTTGAAAATATATCATTCAAAATTTAAATTAGTAATTTTAAAAACTATCTATTTATTTATTTATTTAATTATTCTGTATTATTTTCGGATTCTGATTGAATCGGGGTCGAGATATCCTGATTTTTTGTCGAATATCCAGAAGCCACGGATCCAGATTTTGATACTTTTACCATGGATCCGACAAATCTGGATATCTTAAATTTCAGGATATCTGTATCTGTCCCAACCCTCATGAAGATGACAAAATAATTTTTCTAAAAGTTCATAAATATTAGAGCAAAAAAATATCCAAACATAAAACAAATACTTATATAGAGTTTAAAATAATAAATATCAATATTTAAAACATATTACCATTCCTAAACCTTTAGATTTGATGATTGTATTTTCGGTCAATATCTATATGTTGGTATAAAAAATGTGTATTATAATTACCTTCTTGAACAGTTGTTCCATTAGGTGGTGGTGGTGATGACTCTTCACGGAGACCATTGTTGGTCGATATAGTCTTGCTGCTCATATGAAACAGTGAATCGCCATTGTTACTTCGCTCCTCAAATGAATATTGTCTTGGTTGACTCATAGAGACTGTTGAATTATTGTTCAAGTTAGTTTGTTCTTGCATGTTTAAATAGAGAAATAAGATGTATGATTTATGAAGATAAAACTTGAAAGAAATTATAAATGAACATACAAATGTTAAAATCCAACATGATAAGAATAAAAGTTAATATTGGCAATGCATCTTATAGTTTATACAAAAATGTATAGTTGTTTCTTAAAATTCAAATTTTAATATTTCAACAACTAACGCGCCAAAATTTAAATTTGACTCAACACTATAACATTTATTAACGCGCCAAAATTTGGAATTGACTAAAAAAACTTATATATTGACCTTAAATTATGAATTAATTTATTACCTAAAAATATATGTTGACTTTGATCGTCCATATCATGTTGGATTTTCAAAACATATTTTTGCATTTGTAATATTTTTTTGAAAATTATCTAATTGTATTATTTCATATTAAAGAATAATAATGAGTGAATATGTGTTATATACGTATGTATACAATAATTTATTTTTTCATCTTTTAAATATGGTTCATAGATAGTGTCGGATTATTGTTCATATTTTTGTGTTGTAATGGTTGATAGATAGACCCAATCGAACCATAAAGTTGGCAATGGTGGACCAATCAGATTCATTCTTCTCATAGTGACATCTTATAAGATATGGATTTTCGTACTCCAAATGAAGGAGTTGTGATTATTATATGAGGTTCATACATTATTTCAATTGATATAGTTTGGTTTTCGTTTCTATAATGAGTATTCGATCATTAAAAAAGAAGATAAAAGAGTTGTGAATTTGAGGTCCATATTTTGTTCATAAGTGTTAGCTTTAGTTAAAATAAAATTCTCGTTATTGGTTAGTTAAATTAACAATTTATTCATGAAAATTCTCTGCAACACAATCACAAGAAAGCCTTTGGTTTTAGGCTAAACAATTTTTTTCTCAGCCCACATACAATAACTACTAAATGGATGGCTTTGGAAGTTTGGGTGTTCATAGTTGGCTCTTTAAGATGTCGTGAACCTAAAATATCGTCTTTATGGTCAGTTGGTTTCAGTGAAAACAGCTTGTTTTTCTTACTAGCCATGACAAGGTCGGTCGAACTCCAAGGGTCAAACTTCACATTCTCAATTAAAATTATATGCTTAGAAGGACTATAAAAATAGTTTTCTTGTGCTAACATAAAGCTTAAAAGAATCCATGGATTTCATATCGACCATTTTTATTTAAAGCGTGATTCATGTGTTCATTTAAATTTGATTTGTGCAATATATTTCCCTAAACCATGTTATATCTTCCGATAGATATTAGTATGCCAAACTATTTTTAGGAGACTTTGCCTATCTTCTTCCTTATAACAGATTGCTAGATATAGAGATAAAAAATTTGCATGAAAATTTTTAAACTGTGAGTAAGATGGTTCTTAGCTTTCACATTTTCATACTTCAGCTTTCGTCTCCTTCTTTAGTCGCATCGTTTAATGAAAAAAATAGTTAAAGGTTCACAGTTCACTCAGATGTCGTACTTGACAAATCTCATTGCTTAATGCCTATGCTTTGTCGGCATATGTCTATGTTGTGCCAACAAAGTATGTGTTTAATTTATAACACGCAAATAATCTTAATAGAAACTAAGCAACCACAACAAAAATTTAATGAGATAAAGCATGCACGTAGCATGGATACTTATCTAGTTGGAATAATATCTCTTGAATTTTATCAAAAACACATTGGTTGAATTAACATTATGAAATATCAACTAGTTAGACATTAAGATTGAGATAGAAAGTTTAGAAATTTCATAAATTATTCAAGTAAACAAATACCAAAATATAAAACATAAAACAAACACCAATTTTCAGTTTTAAAATAATCCACACCAAACATAAAAAACATAAATACCATTTCTAGAACTCTAGAAAATGATGATTGTATGTATTGTCACTCTTTATATGTTGAGATCAAATGATGTCATATCATAATTATTTTTTTGAGAAGTTGCTCCATTAGGTGGTGGTGGTGACTCTCGACGGAGACCACAACTGGACGGTATAGTGTTGGCGCTCGGATGAAACTGTGAATCTTCATTGTTAATAATAAGTCGCTCCTCAAAGGGGTATTGCCTTGGTTGACTCATAGATAGTGTTGGATTATTGTTCATGTTATTGTGTTGTAATGGTTGAGAGACAGACGC